TAAATCATGATCAAAATAAATGAAGAGCTCCAGATGACATCAATGCCATTTGTCTTTAAGTCCTGATGTTGTGTGGATGACAAGCAAGCAGCAAGTTATAATGACAGGTGATAGATCCAAAGGAACTGCCAAATTTGTTAACATATTTCCATTTCTAAACCATCCTTAAAGAAAATCATACATGGGGTCATATCATCCTCACGGTAGTTCAGCAGAGCAATTGTGCCATCTGGATTCATGTTTTCACCTAAAAAGAACTGGTAGTTTCTGAAGTTAGCAAGCATGCACTTGATTTATTCTGCAGTTCCTATCATAAAAGGTTTTACTCATGTAGTCTTTGATATACTTCTTGTAGGCTTCTTTTGTGAAGCAGTTTCCTGCAAGTGATGGTTCATGACAAAATGAACACCAGTGATTATTGTGCTTTTGGTACATTTACCCTCAGGGCCTTCAGTGGAGGCATTTCCACCATTTCATCAATGTTACCCTCTGTCTTACTGACCATCTTCCCCTCCACCTCCAGGCACAGCTCCTCTGTGATCTCCTGGATCTTGTAAATGTCAGAGAACATCTCATCATGGCTGATGAGGTCCCAGTAGATAATCATGATGGCAGCTGGAGGGGCATGACAGCAGCACCAGCTTAGCAGAGGCCTGGAGGTCCCAACAAACATCGTGGGACCAGAGTGGTGCTTGGCATGTGGAGGAGCAGGCAGAAAAGCCAATCTTTTAAATTTTTTTTTTAAGTTTCTATTTCATTTATTTCTGCTCAGAGGTTTATTATTTCTTTCCTTCTGCCAATTTTGGGTTTAGTTTGTTGTTGTTTTTCTAGTTCCTTAGGTATATCTAGTTCCTTTGATAGTTTATTAGAAATATTTCTTCTTTTGATATAGACATTTATTGCTATAAACTTTCCTCTTAGAACTGCTTTTGCTATATCCCATAGGTTTTGGTATCATGTATTTCAATTCTCATTTGTCCCAAGGAATTTTTTAATTTCCCTTTTAATTTTTTCATTATCCATTTGCTGTTTTAGGAGCATGTTGTTTAATTTCCATGTATTTGTAGTTTCTGAAGTTTTTCTTGTTGTTGATTTCTAGTTTTATACCATTGTGGTCTGAAAAGATACTTGATATGATCTCTGTTTTTTTTAAATATGTGTAGACATGTTTTGTGGACTAACATATGATCTATCCTGGAGAATGTTTCTTGTGCAGTTGAGAATAATGTGTACTGTGATTTAAAGTCTATAGTATCTGATATAAGAATGGCTATTCCTTCTTGCTTTTGATTTCCATTTGCATGGAATATCTTTTTACAGGCCACCACTTTCAGGTTATGTTTGACTTTTAGGTGAGTCTCTTGTAGGCAGCATATTATTGGATCTTTTTTTTTTTTAATCCATTCAACCACTCTATATCTTTTAATTGAACAGTTTAATCCATTTACATTCAAGGTTATTACCAATGTGTGAGAACTTATTCTTGTCATTTTGTTAATTATTTCTTTGGTTGTTTTGTAGATCCTTAGTCCCTTTCTTTTTCTTTTGTTATTTACCTCTGTGAATTGGTAGTTTTCTGTGGTGCTAAGTTTTTTTTCCTTCTCTTTCTCATTTGTGTGTCTGCTACAATTTCTTTTTTCATAGTACCTTGGGGTTAACATAAAGTGTCTCGTAGTTATAATAAAATATTATTATTATTATTATTTTTTTTTGTCTTTTTCATGACCGGTAAGGGGATCACAACCCCTTGGCTTGGTGTTGCCTGCACTGCGCTCAGCCAGTGAGCGCACCGGCCATCCCTATATAGGATCCGAACTGGCAGTGGGAGCGCCACTGTGCACCCAAGCGCCACACTCTCCTGAGTGCACCACGGGGCTGGCCCTATAATAAAATATTTTAAGTTGATTACAACTTAACTTTAGTCACATGAAAATGCTCTAGGCTTCCCACACACACAAATTATATTTTTCTTGCCTTAATTTACATTTGTGTCTATTGTATGTTTCTTAACGACTAATTGTAGCTGTTGTTTTTTGATCGTTTTGATTTTAAACCTTCATACTAGAAGGTTAAAGGATTTACATAGCAGCATTATATCATGCGAGCATTCTGAGTTTGAAGAGTGAATTTACCTCCACAGGTAAGTTTTGTGTTTTTTCATGTTGTCATGATAGTAATTATCATCTTTTCATTTCCAGTTGTAGCACTCCCTTAAGCATTTCTTGTAAGGCTGGTCTAGTAGTGATGAATTCCCTCAGCTTTTGCTTGTCTGGGAAGGTCTTTATTTCTCCCTCATTTGTGAAAGATAGCTTTTCTGGATAAAGTACTCTTGGCTGACAATTTTTTTTTTCTCTTTTAGGACTCTAAATATATCATCCCCTTCTCTCTTGGCCTGCAAGTTTTCTGTTGAGCAATCTGCTGATAATCTAGTGGGGATTCCTTTATATATGACTTGATGCTTTTCTCTTGCAGCTTTTAGAATTCTCTCTGTCTTTGACTTTTGATAATTTGGTTATGATGTGTCTCTGAGGATCTTTTTGGGTTGAATCTAAATAGACCTTTGAGCTTCCTAAATCTGACTATCCATATCTCTCCCAACACTGGGAAATCTTCAGCTATTATTTCATTGGAATTTCTGTGCCTTTCTCCAACTCTTCTCTTTCTCAAACACATATTATTCAAACAGTTGTTTGCTTAATGGTGTCCCATAAGTCTCATGGCCTCTCTTCATTCTCTTTCATGCTTATTAATTTTTACCCTCTGGCCTGGCAATTTCAGAAGATCTGTCTTCAAATTCAGAAATTCTTTCTTCTGCTTGATCTACTCTGTTGACAAAGCTCTCAATTGAATTTTGTATTTCATTCATTGGATTATTTAGCTCCAAAATTTGTTTGGTTCTTCTTTATGATATCTATCTCTTTGTTAAATTTCTCCTTCCAATCACGAATTGTTTTTCTGATTTCATTGGATTGTTTGTCTATGTTCTCTTGTATCTCATTGAGTTTTCTTAAGATCTTTATTTGAAATTCCTTTACAAATATTTTTTAAAATTTATTTATTATTATTATTATTTTATATTCTAAGATGTTGCAGAGCAGTTGGGGGGAGGGGTGGAGAGGAAAGGTAGATAGGATGGGAGGAAGAAGAAGAGGGGGTGTGGTCAAAGCCCATTGCACCCCCCTCATTCTGACAGGGAAGCCCAGGGTCTTCTGATGGTGGCTTGGTCATGGCTTGGTTGGATGCAGACATCAGGGGGACATTTCTAAGGCCCTTAGCATCCCCCCACCCCAGGTTGGGAGTCTGAAGCACTTCTGGTGGCAGCCTGGTGGTCATCACTGGGCTAGATGCAGATGTCAAGGGGATGTGGCTGATACACTCAGCCCTCACCCAACCCTGGCTTGGGAGCCTGAGGGGTTTCCAGTCCTTCTAGGTTTTACACGTATTCTTTGGTGATGTTAGACCTTTACTGGTTAATATAACAACTTTGTCTCTGATCTGTGGGTTTTTTGTTTTTTCTTTCAGTTCTGTTTTGGATTATTTGCTATTCCCATCACTTAAACTCTGCAGTGGAACTTATTTGTTGTCTTTTGGTTACTTCTAAAATGGGGGAACTTCCTGTGGGAACCAGCTGAGTCTTTTCAGCAAACTGCATCCCCTGCAGTTCTATGTTCCTGACCAGTCTCCACTGAGTGGTCCTATGCTGATTGGAGGACAGATCAGCTGTCCATGTGTACCCCAATGTTCCCTCAGTGGGCATGTCTTCCCCACTGCCCACATTCCAAACACTTTCTATGGGGCAGGCCATGCGCCGGTCCCTTGTGATGATTCACCGGCCTCTAAGTGGTTCCTTTTTTCAGTTGTCTGTGGCCCCTTGCTCCTATGTGGATACACAGGAACACTGTCAGTGGTCTTGCTGACCTGGGGACGACCAAGAACTTCTCTCTTTCAGCCTCCAAGCAACTTCATACATAGGGCACAGCTGTGGCTTTTTCCAGCTCTTGCTCTGTGTGCTCACCAGGGCCAGGCTTGAAGCAGCCGAGACTCAAAACAGTCAGAGTAATCCTTGCTTTCCCTCATCGTGACTTCTCCTGCCTTCATGAATTCCATAAGTCTCTCTTCCTCTTTCCCTGAGCTCTAGCCCCTTTACAAGCATTTTGCAACTGTCCTTTTCCTTGTCATATTTTACCGGAGATTTATCATATTCCTGTGAGGGTGTCAAGTTTCCTTGCTTTTTCATGTTTTGTGTGTGTGTGTGTGTGTGTGTGTGTGTGTGTGTGTGTGTTTGTGTTCCTACATTGATATCTGTGCACCTAATAGAGGAGTTGCTTTTCCCTATTTTATGGAGCAGATTATGTAGAATGACTTTTTCTAGTATGTGGGTCCTAGGGTGTCTGTAGGATATATTGTGTTGACTGTGGTTTTTGGTGGACTCAGTATCATATTCTCTGTGCAATTTCTTTGGTTGTAATCCTCTTTAGTGATGTCTGCAAATGCTTCCATGGCATAGACAGCAGGAGTTTGTACCAACACTGGCTCTGTTTTGTTGGGTTGGATACTCTGGGCTGGTTGATGCACCAGGCATGTGCAGGTACAGAGGGCCAGCTGGCTGTCTGGTAATCTTGCTGAGATGCAGAGTTGCTGCCTGACTGGCTATCAGGAAACAGGTGTGCCTGCTACTGCAGGGGGGTGGGGGAGGAGCATCAAGCAGCTCCGCAAAGGCCTGTCAGAGGAGTGGGTGCCACTGCCTGGCCAGAAACTGGTAACTGGTGTTCACAGGTACAGCAGGACCCAGTGTCCCTGTGGAGGACTGCCAGAGGAGGTGAAGCCACTGCCTGATCCCTATCAAGCAGGAAGCAAGTGTGCACAGGTATAGAAAAGACTGGATCCAGCTGTTGATCCCAGAACAGGTCAGCAGGAGTGCAGCAGGGCCCAGAAGCTCTGTAGAGGCCCACTTGGTAGAGACAAAGCCACTGTCATGCCTAGGGTAGGTGTGCACTGGTGCAATAAGGCCCAGCAGCTCTATGAAGAGCTGCCAGATCAGTCCTGCAGCATATTTCTGCAGCATATTTTTGGTGCTCTGCAGCATATTTCTTTAGTCAGACGTTGAGCCTGAAGCAAGCCTGCAAAGGTGCAGCCAGGCCTAGAAGATCTGTAGAGGCCTGCTGGGGAGAGACAAAGCCACTTCCCAGTTGCAGTCAGTCAGGGAGTTAGTTGCTCTGAATAATCGAAGATACCACTGGATTGGCTTTCAGGTTGGCACAGGTGCCTGTGGGCTAAGTGGGCCAGTGGGTTATATAGGGCAGGTGCACATACACAAGGTGAACAATTGTTTATTGGCAGCTTCCCCACTGAGCAGGTCTGCCTGTTCTCCTTGGGGGGAGGTTGTCCTGCCTGGGTTCTGATGCTAGAGTCTTGGTTTTTCTGTCTGGCCTGGGCTCCAGGCAGCAGGGGTGTGGTCCTGCTGGTGCCCATGTGAATATGGTAGAATGAAGGTAGGGCCTCAGGGTGGAGGAAGTTGGTTCCACTAGCCCCCAGGGTAAGACGCACTCTAGCAGCATGTTCAGCTACAAGATGGCACTGTGCCATAGCTGCTTAGGGCGGGAGGTTGGGGGTTCCTCTACCTGGGCTTCTACTATGAGGCCGTGCAGCTGCACAAACTCCCAGCTGGGGTCTGGGTCCTAAGAGGACTGGGGGACACTCTTCCGGCAGGGATTGCTAGCATTTGCAATGGAAACAGCTAGGGCTTTGCCAGCTTACCTTCTTTCTGCCTGAGTCTGAGCCAGCCCCTGCAGGAAAACAGTGAGGCAGAGGCAGGATGCCTAGCTCGCTCGCTCTGGTGCTATCCCAGTCTCCCATGCTCTGTAAGGATTTCAACACTCCCAGTGCTCTGCAGTATATTTCTTTGGTCATTCTGGTTAAAATATAGTTGTTTTATTTGTCGTTTTGGTATCTTTCTGTGAGGGGAGAAGCACCAGACAACTCTAGTTGGTCATTTTTCTCTGCCCTCTAATTATTCCTTTATTAGAGCATTCTGCTTATGTTTCTTAAATATATCTTCTCTTACCTCAGAAAAATTAATTGCACTTACTAATTATAGTTTCTTTGAAAGTCATCTTCTGCTCTCTTCCCTGTATTTTGTCTGTTTCCTCTGAACTTCTTTTTTCTGTTTTCTGGTGCCTCTGTTTCCAGTTGGAGGATTTTAGCAACTATCAGGTCAGCTTTAACTACCCATTCATAGTAAGAGCTAGGCATTTAAAAGCTGACAGGATCCTGATATGAGCATCACATATTGCACATAGGTGTGGATATTCAATGCTGTACCCCATAGATATGTACAATCAACATGTTTCAATTTTTAAAAAAAAGAAAAGAAAAGCTGGCAGGAAGGCTGGTATATATGGGTGGAACTTGTCAAAGATTGGACTTCACATGGTACGATTACTTCATTGGCTACCTCAAAATGACACTATCAAGTCATTTTTTCTTTTGAGTGGTGTAATTTCTCCAATCTCCTACCTGGAGTGTACACCCCTGTATTTCATGTTCTCGTTTTGGGTAAGAAGAGCAGAAAAACCAGTGTGTACATTTTCACTTAATCTGCTTGTTTTTCCTCCAACATTGTACCCCAGCCTCTTCCGTGTCCTGTGTCACCACTTTAAGGCCCCTATATTTTGATTTCTCCAGAAAACATATTTCTCTGGGGATACGGAAGGGACCATTACCTGAGAGTGTAGCTGGTGCGTGGAGGATTTAGAGTCCTTACTCAGATTTTCATACAGTCTCTTTGTTTTCTTGACACCACCCCTTCACTTCCACCTTCCATACCCCACCCTGATACCAGTCCTCAAGCCTGTTCAGGGCTTCTGTGAGGCTGATGAACTTGCTTTTCATTGCTGTCCCACCGCTCATCTCTAGCTGGTTAGGTCTAAACTCTCTCTGATCAGCTAAGTTATTTACCATTCCTCTTCAACTTCATATTTTATTGCTCAGGTCTACATCTAGTTTCATCGAAGATAAAGTTGGTGTTTCTTTTTCATGGTCGCCTCGTTATGTTGGAGGTGATTGTGCAGGGGAAGTGGGGTAGCAATATCTTCATTCCAATATTTTGTTTGAAACAGGAAGTTCTGTCAATAGAGAAGAACATTACTTAAGTAGATTTCATTAAGTAGAAGTTGGTCAAAAGAAGTGGCAACTTCTGTACTTGCCACTCTCCAAATAAACCATGACCATGCTGTTGTATTATACTGTCAAATAAAAAACAAATCCAGAGTTAGGTAAGCAGAGACTATTCAAAAGGATTATAGAAAGGGAAAAAGACTACTGCAGTAGGAAGAACATATCAATCTTAAGACCTGCACATCTCAGAGATCAGGCAGAAAAAGGCTTTTCTTTTATAGGGAAGAGTAATAAGGCTAGAAAGAACCAGATGTCAGAAAGTAGGATAAACAGGTAGAGGTGGCTTGATTGCACAGTAAGTCAGAGAATGTTTTACCCTGAGGTTAGTTGATGCTCAGGAAGGGTCATTACAGAGGGGCTGAAATGCCAAGTCAAGTTGAGGGTAAGTAAAAATTCAGGGGCTTGGATGAAGGAGAGAAGATAAACTAAGTTTTGGTCGAGTTATGGTAGCAGGTATTTTGTCCAGATGGGTCAGTGGGTAAAGAATAGGAATCTGGAGGGCTGTGTCTGTATGGTCATAGGTAAACAGGGGGGAATCTGTGAGTCTTATCTAAGTCCTATGGGGAATGATGGTTCCTTGTCATAAGCCATTTCTGAAACACAATGGAGTAGTAGGATTCGTATAAACATCATTGTTTTTCAGGATCACAGGGCTCAAATAAACTCCAACATTGTCAGGAAAATCTTTCACTTCTCTCTCCTATCCCTCTCCCAACCCACCTCTGCCCGGAAGCATCTGGATACACACCTTTCCTCCCACTTCTCCTTTGCCATTAAGTATGATGCATAGGCAATGTCTCTCCTGGGAAGGTGTCCCAAACTACCTCCCAAAATATGACTGAACAGTACAGTGCTTTCTCTTTCTAGATTAATTCACACTGCATGTAATATCTGCTTAGTCTTTGAGGGCAGAGCTGTGTCTTAGTCATCACTGTGTCATCAGCTCTTAGATCAATGGCTTTCAGTAAACAGTGAATGAATAGGGGGTGGTTACCATAGCTGTGACTTTTGAAATTCATCCTGTTCTCACAGACAACTGAGAGGCAAAACAATCTCCAGATCCTTGGGATTGCTCACAGGGTGAACAATCACATTTGCTTAATCATCCAGCCCTCCACTTTGAAGATTCTTCACTAGTCTTTTATATCAGCTGATAATTAATGTGGAGGAAAAAAGAAGAAAATAATGTGCTGATTACATTTTCATTTTCTTAATTGTTTTTTAAAAAAAATGCTTTCAATAAAAGGGTTGAAATTTTTTTTTCATTGAGTAGTTATCTTGCTTATATGTTACTTAGCAATACTGACTGTTAAATCAATTTAACTGATCAGTGAAAGGTGACACTGGTGCTAAATCATCGAGAGAGTCTTTTTTCTGACTTTAACAGTAGAGAGAAAAATATAGGTGAACTTAAGAAATATTTTCCTAGGTAAATATAAATTTTATACTCAAAAAAGCTCATTGAGTCTGGCATAATTAAAGAGTTTAAGGGGTACTTGGAAATCATGTAGTTCAACCCCTTTATTTGTAGTTAAGAAAATTAAGGCTCTGAGATGCGACATATTAAAGTTTAGACAGAACCAGGAAAAAAGCATTTCTTTTGTTTCCTAATAGGAAATTGTTTTCACTAAAGATGAGTTTTGTTTGATTTCTTTGGTTCATACATTGAAGAATTCTTAAGCCAGCATCTGAAAAAGTAAATGCATAACAAAATCGGAAGTGATTTTCAGTAAGTATTAAACCCCAGAAAAGAGCCAGAATTTTTAAATGTAAATGCCCTATCATACTGCTGTTTAGAATACCAAATGGAATACTTCTGAATGTAATGATCAAATATCATGAAGAGGTCATCAATGTTAAAATCATAAATCATCAAAAGAAGGTAGAGGGAAATCTCTATGAATGAAATGCAGCCCAAGGGCTCTTGTCTTCAAATGTGCTTCTTAATGAGTGTCCAGGTGATGCACCAAGCGTTCTTTGATTATTTCCTTTCATTTCACTACACCGCCAGGCTGAAAATGCTAATTCAATTCTCAGGTATAGAATTATTTTAAGCTAGATGCCTGACAGAAGGCAGAGGCATGTGAAAACACCACTTCTGTGTGGGTGGTCTACCACAGCCACCACATAGCCATTGAAACTGCAAGGGTGGCTCACCACCACAGTAGCAGCCACAGCCACCATGCAGGCAGTCCACTGCCCACTCAATTGCATTTACACAAGGAGAGTCAGAGCAGAGACTGGAAAAAGAGGAAGTCTCTCTCCTCAAAGCCCATTCCAGAGTAATAGAAGAAGCAACTATTCTATAAAATAACGAGACATCAATGTAGAGATACTAAAAATATGAAAACCCAAGAAAATATGGTACCACCAAAGGCATGCAGTAATTCTCAAATACCAGACCCCAAGCAGGAAACCCTTGAAATGACTGAAAAGGAATTCTGAGCAACAATCTTAATGAAACTCAATGGCATATGAGAAGACTCAGACAAGATAAGGAAACAAGAAAAAATATCCAGGATATGAAAAAGGAAATTTACAAAGAGATTAATACCTTAACAAGGAATGTAGCAGAACTCCTGGAAATGAAGGATTCATTCAATGAAATAAAAAATACAACCAAGAGTTTAAGCAGCAGGTTAGAGCAAGCAGAAGAAAGAATTTCTGAACTCAAAGGTAGTCTTTTTGAAA